AAAAAAAAAAAAAAAAAGGTTTTAAAATAACAAATTTAAAGATGAATAATTTTAGTAGTTGCAGTATGGATTGTAAACTTACCGTGATAAACTATATACATTTGGACAGGCAGATGTCAAATGCTTCACAAGATTAAAATAGGGTATCTATAAAATAAAAATGTCAAGAAACTTGTAAGAATATTCCTGAAAAACTGTAACAATGGATGATGAAACCCCCATAATTATAATCTTTATCTTCTAATCACCCATTTATAGGTAGATTGCAAACTTTAGAAAAAGAATTTAAAGTTTTCTTATTACAAAATACTTGTCATTGCAGAAAACATCAGAAAAAAAAGTAAAAACCATCTACAGCCCATCCTTTCCCCCAAAAGCAAGCCAGTTTCCATATTCATATATATCTTTCCAGACCTGAAAAGTAGTTTTAAAGCAATTTCCTTCCATTTATCTAAGATTGGTCAGAGGAAAAAGATTTCAACAGCAAGGAAAGAATTTATATTTATACAAATACTATTTTAAGTTCTTGTTAATCAACATACTTTGGAAACAACACTTTTGGATAAATATTGTCAAGAAAACCAACCCACCTCAGGACATTTTGATATCATACATGGGAGGACAGTTTGACAGCACATAAACCAGGGGGTTAAAAGTAGTTATTTGGCCAGGTGCGGTGGCTCACGCCTGTAATCCCAGCACTTCGGAGGCCGAGGTGGGTGGATCACGAGGTCAGGAGTTCAAGACCAGCCTGGCCAATTGGTGAAACCCCATCTCTACTAAAAATGCAAAATTAGCTGGGTGTGGTGGCATGCGCCTGTAATCCTAGCTACTCAGGAGGCTGAGGCAGGAGAATTGCTTGAACCAGGACTGGGGAGGTGGAAGTTGCAGTGAATTGAGATTGCACTACTGCACTCCAGCCTGGGCTAGAGTGAGACTCCGTCCCAAGAAAAAAAAAAAAAAAAAAAAAAAGTAGTTATTTTGAGGCCAGGCGTGGTGGTGGCTCATGCCTGTAATCCTAGCACTTTGGGAGGCTGAGGTGGGTAGGTCCCGCCTGGCCAACGTGGTGAAACCCCGTCTCTACTAAAAATACAAAAATTAGCCAGGCGTGGTGGTGGATGCCCGTAATCCCTGCTGCTCGTGAGGCTGAGGCAGGGAATTGCTTGAACCCGGGAGGCAGAGGTTGCAGTGAGCCGAAATTGCGCCACTGCATTCCAGCCTGGGCAACAGAGTGAGACTCTGGCTCAAAAAAAAAAAAAAAAGTTTCCTAATCTTTTAGAGGTTCATATAAATTCAGTATTTTATTATGATACTTATAAATAAGGGCATCTTAATGGAAAAGAAAGTTCTTCAGTAAGAGACCTAATAATTATAATTATTATTAGGTCTCTAGTAATAGATATATTAGAAATCCTGAGCAAGAGTGATCCTCCTGCCACCGTCTCCCCAAGCGCTGGAATTACAGGTGTGAGCCAAATAACTATGATTAGTTATAACTAACTGAACTATTCTAACGGAATAATAACTTTTTATTCAGTTACAGACCTCTAACCTGGGTTGAAGGATAAATTACATAGGTAATTAATACAAGGGGGCTTTTTACCACCAAGTGGACTAATGATTATCAGTAGCATGACCTTTGGAAGACAGATCTCTGTTCAAATCTCAACTTTTGTGTTACCTTGTGACGTCTTTCTGATAATACCTACTCATGGAGTGAGGCGGATATTAATTTAGAAAGCATATGTAACGCTCTTTGCTCAGAGCCCAGTACACAGTATACATTTAATACAGTATCTATTCAATCAAGCTACTATTTTCTGCTTTAAAAGTACTTTAGAGCAGTTTTCCAAAGTGAGGTTAGAGGTGCTCAGGAAAGCAGTGAAGTACAAAAAGAGAGGGGCAACAGTTATTTTCTAATTCTGATTTTGTTCCCTACCTTTCCCTCATACACCCTCTGAAAGTCAACCTTGTCTCTCATGAATTTACTATTATTTTTCCAGGCTGGAGTGCAGTGGTGTGATCATAGCTCACTGCAGCCTCAATCTCCTGGGCTGAAGCTATCCTCCTGCCTCAGCTTCCTGAGTAGCTGGGACTACAGGAACATGCCACCACACCTAGCTAATTTTTTAAATTTCTAGTAGAGATGAGGTGTATTAGTCCATTCTCACATTGCTATAAAGAAAAACCTGAGACTAGGTAATTTATAAAAGAAAGAGGTGTAATTAACTCACAGTTCACAATGGCTGGGGAGGCCTCAGGAAACTTACAATCATGGCAGAAGAGAAAGGGAACAGCAAGGCACCTTCTTCACAAGGCAGCAGGAAGGAGAATGAATACAGGAGGAACTACCAATCACTTATAAAACCATGAGATCTCGTAATAATTCACTATTGCAAGAACAGCCTGGGGGACTCTGCCTCCCTGATCCAATCGCCTCCACATGGTCCCTCCCTTGACACATGGGGATTAAAATTTGAGATGAAATTTGGGTCAAGACACAGAGCCAACCACATCATTCTGCTCCTGGCCCCTCCCAAATCTCATGTGCTTACTTTTCAAAACCAATTATGCCTTCCCAACAGTCCACCAAAGTCTTAACTCATTCTAGCATTAACTCGAAAGTTCAAAACCAAAGTCTTACCTGAGAAAAGTCAAGTCCCTTCCACCTGTGAGCCTGTAAAATCAAAAACAAGTTAGTTACATCCAAGATACAATGAGGGTACAGGCATTGGGCAAATGTTCCCATTTCAAATGGTAGAAATCAGCCAAAACAAAGGGGCTTACAGGCTGCATGCAAGTCTGAACTCAGCAGGGCAGTCATTACTTAAGCTCCAAAATGATTTTGACTCCATGTCTCACATCCAGGTCATGCTGATGCAAAGCGTGGGCTCTAAAGAACTTGGGTAGCTCTGCCTCTGTGGCTTTGCAGGGTTCAACGCCCACTGCCATTCTCATGGGCTCGTGTTGAGTGACTAACTTTTCCAGGCTCATGGTGCAAACTGTTGGTGGATCTACCATTCTAGGTCTGGAGGACCGTGGGCCACCTTTCACAGCTCCACTAGGCAGTACCCCAGTGGGGACTGTGTGTGGGGGCTCCAACTCCACATTTCCCTTTTGCACTGTCCTAGCAGAGGTTCTCCATGAGGATTCTCCCCCTTCAGCAGACTTCTGCCTGGACACTGAGGCGTTTCCATACATCCTCTGAAATCTAGGCAGAGGTTCCCAAATTGTTGTCTTCTGTGCACCTGCAGGCTCCATAGCACATGGAAGCCACCAAGGCTTGGGGCTTATACCCTCTGAAGCAATGGTCCGAGCTGTGCCTTGGCCCCTTTTAGCCATGGCTGGGATGCAGGGCACCAAGTCCCAAGGCTGCTCTTGTACAGAACAGTGGTGCCCTGGGCCCAGCCCATGAAACTATTTTTCCTTCTTAGGCTTCCTGGTCTGTGATGGGAGGGGCTGCAGAGAAGGTCTCTGACATGCCCTGGAGACATTTTCCCCATTCTATTGGCTATTAACATTCCACTCTTTGTTACTAATGCAAATTTCTGCAGCCAGCCTGAATTCCTCCCCAGAAAATGGGTTTCTTTTTTTTTTTTTTTTTTTTTGAGATTGAGTCTTGCTCGGTTGTCCAGGCTGGAGTGCAGTGGCACAATCTTGCTCACTGCAACCTCTGCCTCCCAGGTTCAAGCAATTCTCCTGCCTCAGCCTCCCAAGTAGGTGGGATTACAGGCACATGCCACATGCTGGGCTAATTTTTGTATTTTTAATAGAGATGGGGTTTCATCATATTGGTCAGGCTGGTCTCGAACTCTTGACCTCATGATCCACCCACTTTGGCCTCCCAAAGTGCTGGGATTACACGCATGAGCCACGGTGCCTGGCTGGGTTTTTCTTTTCTATTGCATCTTCAGGCTGCAAATTTTGAAACTTTTATGCTCTGCTTCCCCTTTAAACCTAAGTTCCAATTTGAGATCATCTCTCTCAAGCTCAAAGTTCCACAGATCTCTATCTAGGGCAGGGGCAAAATGCTGCCAGTCTCTTTGCTAAAGCTTAGCAAGACTGACCCTTGCCCAGTTCCCAAGAAGTTCTTCATCTCTATCTGAGACCACCTCAGCCTGGACTTCATTGTCCATATCACTTTCAGCATTTTGGTCAAAGCGATTCAATGAGTCTGTAGGAAATTCCAAAGTTTCCCACATCTTCCTTTCTTCTTCTGAGCTCTCCGAACTATTTCAATCTCTGCTTGTTACCCAGTTCCAAAGTCACTTCCATATTCTCAGGTAACTTGTATCAGTGCCCCGCTACCTTGGTATCAACTTCCTGTATTGGTCTGTTCTCACACTGCTATAAAGTCTAAGGCAGGAGAATATAAAGAAATTACCCATGACTGGGCAATTTATAATTATAGGAGAGAGGTTTAATTGACTCACAGTTCCAAACTTACAATCATGGTGGAAGGAGAAGAAAGCACCTCTTCACAAGGCAGCAGGAGAGAGAGTGAACACAGGAGGAACTACCAAACACTTATAAAACAATCAGATCTCCTGAGAACTCACTCCCTATCATGAGAGCAGCATGGGGGAATCCACCCCCATGATCCAATTATCTGTACTTTTTCCCTCCCTTGACCTTCTCTGGTCCCCAACTGTAATTGGGGATTACAATTCGAGATAGATTTGGGTGAGGACACAGAGACAAACCATATCAGGAGGTGTCACTGCCCAGTCTGGTCTAGGAAAAAAGCAATCCTCTGAACAGAAGTGATCCTTCTGTCTCTGCCTCCCAAAGTGTTGGGATTATAGGCCTGAGCCACCACGCTCAGTCAGATAAAGTGCTGGGTAAGAATCAAAGACATGGCCGGGTGCCAATCCCCAAGTAGGGGAGGACTGCTTGAGTCCAGGAGTTCAAGACCAACCTGGCCAACAGAGAGAGTCCCTGTCTTTAAAAAATTAAAAAAAAAAAAAAAAAAAAAAAAAAAAAAAAAAAAAAAAAAAAAAAAAAAAAAAAAAAAAAAAAAAAAAATCAAAGATATACTGAGAAATGATTTGACATGATCATATGCACACTGGTTTTTACTACTGTGAGTCAATTAAACCTATTACAATATTTGTTCACACTACTAGTGAAGTCAGGAGAATGTGCAACCATCAGGAGGTAATAGAGCTCTGGTGGAGAGCGAGATGTGGCTTAAATATTGCACTTTGTCCCTGTGGCTTAGGTACTGTAGTTCTGTCTCCCCAAGGACTGTTAGGCCCTGAGAGACTTGAAGTAACCAAAACACACATGCTTGAGACAGACATCAGAATGCTAAGGTATTAAAATATAGTGAAAACAATCACTGACACACACATCAGAAATACATGATCTTGGCATCATTGATCGACACAATCCCTCCTTGTCGTCATTCAGGCAGACAGGAAAGCCGTAAAGAATATTCTCTCCAAGAAAGCACACTTTCCCCAGCTAAGGTTGCTTGGTGGGCATGAAATTCTTTTAAAAAGAAGTGTCAGGCTGCGTGTGGTGGCTCACGCCTGTACCCCAGCACTTTGGGAGGCTGAGGGGGGCGCTGATCACTTGAGGTCAGGAGTTCGAGACCAGCCTGGGCAACGTGGTGAAACCCTGTCTCTACTAAACATACAAAAATTAGCTGGGTGTGGTGGTGCATGCCTGTAATTCCAGCTACTGGCAAGTCTGAGGCAGGAGAATCGCTTGAACCTGGGAGGTGGAGGTTGCAGTGAGCCGAGATCCTGCCACTGCACTCCAGCCTGGGAGACAGAGACCCTGTGTCCAGAAAAAAAAATAAAAATAAAAATAAAAGGTATCTAGTGGCATAAGAGGGCGGATGCAAATACTGGCCTCATCTGTGGAACTAGAAACATCTGAAGTCTGAGAGAACAGCACAGAAATGGATCCCAGCAAAGCCTACCTTCCTTTAAGTCTCCTTTCCCACATTTCCCCCATCCCCCGTATCCTATTCTTTCTTTACTGTCTAGCATGTCTAGTTGCTCAGCTGCCATTCAGTCTCCAAATGTCTTTTTTGCTTTTGAATTTTTAGAGATAGGGTCTCACACTGTTGCCCAGGCTGGAGTGCATTGGCACTATCATAATAAACAGCTCATTGTAATCTTGAACTCCTAGGATCAAACGATCGTCCTGCCTCAGGCTCCTGAGCAGCTAGTACTAAAGGCACACACTACCACACCTGTAATTTTTTTTTATTTTTTGTAGAGACAGTCTTGCTATGCTGCTCAGGCTAGTACCAAACTCCGGGCCTCAACTGATGCTCCCACCTCAGCCTCCCAAAGTGCTGGGATTACAGGTGTGAGTCACTGCACCTGGCCCAAACACCTGGTTTTGGAAAATCTGTGATATGCACCCACTTTGGTACGAAGCAGGTATTTTTAAGTGTTATATATTTCATACTGAAAATGATGTTTGATGAGAAGAAGGACATATAAAATGTGCCAAATCTAAATTAAAAGAGTACTAAATTCAAACAACAGTGAGTCCATAGATTTTGCACGGTTATGCTAATAGCATGAGCCTACCCCATGGCACACCGAGAATCAAAAGTGCAGAAGGGCTCAGTGTCCATTTACAGGGCCTAAACTGAACTGAAAAGGAGAGAAAGGAGATTGGAACCCAAGGCAGCAGAGGCGACGCTGAAAGAATTAGCTATCGCTGACATTTTGACGTTCGGTGACTGCAGGGTTTCTCTCCTCCCTTCCAGTGCCCTTCTAGCCCCATCCAGGTATGCCCTCCTCCCCAAGCCGCTGCTGGACAGCTAAGGTCCGGTCCACCCTAGCACTAGCCTTGCATTCTCCACAAGACCGTTTCGGACTATTCCGAGGCCGATTCGATCCTCCATATCTCGGAGAGACCTCTGAGCACCTTTGCCTTTAAAACAAGGAAGTAGCCGCAGTCGCTCTGCAGGCTTAATCTTGTCCATACCGCCGTGGATAGTAAGATCGCTCCTGCGCTTTCCCCAGGACCCAACTCCCCATAGCTTTCTCCTCCACCCCAAACGCTGCCGGGGTCTTCAGGACACCGCTTCACCCCACCGAGTAGGACCTAGGATCCTTCAGTCCAATGCGCGGCTCCGTCCCACCGCGGACACCCCTCCGCTCCGGGGTCCCACCCCGGAGAGACCCCCGGCGCACGCGCTCCCCGCTCCCATTCATTCCGTCCGCCGCTGTCATTGCCGCCTTGACCTCTGCGCCCAGCCAGACACGCTCCTCGCGACCTCACCTGCAAGCGGGCGTCGGCAGCGGCGCGCGGCCCCGGCGGCCCCGCTAGGCCGGGGGAACCAGGCTCCGGACTCCGAGCCGCAGGCTTCCGGGAGGAGCCCGGCCGCCACCGCCACCAGCGCGAGGCCATAGTCGGAGTCTGAAAGTCGCGGCAGGGCGGCGGCTCCGCCTCTGGCCCGCGATCCTCTTCCGGGAACCCGGAGCCGGAAACTTGGCACAGGAAGCGCTTCTGCCACGCCTGGGCGGGCGGCGACCTCCTCCCCGCGTGCTGCCCGGCTGCGGGCGCGGGGACCTCGGGCGTCTGCCAGTCGGCCGCCGGCGGGCACAGCGGCCGCTCCCAGGAGGCGGCGGGGCAGGGGCGCGCGGAGGCCCGGCCCGGGGACCTCGAGCGTGACCTTCCCCGGGGCGAGCCTCCTATCCCCACCCCTTCCCCGAAGCCGGGCAGGGGGACAGGCCACGCCTGCAGTCATAGGAAAAATGTCCCGGGGGCACCATTTGTCAGCTGGAAATAGCACCTAGCGCCACCCGTACCCGCGCTAACTACTCAGAGAATCGGCTTCCCGCTCTGCGGCCTAAGCCGGAGGCGACGGTTTCAGCGTCTGCCTTTCCTGGCGGTGACCTGCCACGCGGAGGTGGCTGCCTTTTGCAATCTGTTCTTGAAGAAAGTGCCAGCCTCCGCATCTTCCCAGGAGCAAGTCCGACCACGATCGGTCCTGCTGTGAAACAGAAGCTAAGTTAGCCCGGCCTCTCGGCTTTTGGAGTCGCCTCCCAACGCCTTATATATATAATTTGGCAATGTTGCTCACACCTGGGTGTACTGAGCTGCGTGGGATTCCTTAATGTTTGGTAATGTTGAACCTGCGCGTATCCAGCCTGGGAGATACCTGAGACTTCTCCTTAGCTCTAAGGCCGGATCTGCCTGTGCTGTTCTGGTGCTGACAGACAGCGTGTTTCTAACAGAAAATAAGTGATATAATTAAGCATTCAGAGTATGCACGCAAACACACAGAGCCAGTGAGCTAGAGGGTAACCATTAGAGAGATTCAGAAATGCAATTTAGTCCTCAAAAAATTCACTCTAATGAGGAAATAGACCAGCAAATAGGTAATTGCAGTTTTCTCACACAGGGACAAGTCCTAAAGTGTATGATACATTATATTGTTTGCTGAGAACCATGGCAAGGAAAACCTGGCTGCCTCCCCCACCAAGTGGAAAACTGCTTGGGGCATTTTAAAGTAGCAAAACAGTATATGTATATCATACACCGGTTAAAACAATTCTTTAAGGATGGGATACGCGACCCTGGCTCCCTCGTGGAGAATACTTTCTAGTTTGTCTTTGATCAGTGGTCAGTAGGCACCAGCTGCCTACCTGGTTTCTCTTGGTTCTATGAGAAAACACAGAACACCTGTTTGTTAATAAAAATCACCTGTTTGGAGAGAATACCTGGGTCGGAATCTGCTGCAGGCCCTCACAAGGGAAAGCTGTCGGCTCCCTGAGGCTCTCAGCTGGGAAGGCTGTTGGCCCCGATAGTCCCACTTTGCTGTTCTATCTGGGTGTCTGCTTCTTAACTCCTACAGCGCCACCTGGGTGGGCGTCTCTACCACCACGCTGGTCTCTGTACTCTGATTCGTGTATTTTCTCATTCTTGTGAACCACACTTTGTGTTAAAGAATATGGTAGCCTCATAGCTGGGTACATTAATTTCATATTTAATCATGTGAGTTTTTTAATGGAATAAAGGCATCATAGACTATATAAAGACATCTATGAAAATGAGCCGGTTTGATGGTGTTTTTCCGTCTTGAAGAATAGTATGTAAAAATACGCAAAGTGCTTTACAAGTAAAGATTGTTAATATACACCTGTAGTTTATCTTGGTATAGATTAGGTGTATATGTTAAGAAACATCCAAGGAGTAGAATTTGCCAAGTAGAGCGTAGCAACAAGCACTCGGATTGTACTTGACAATCCTAAGACATTATCATTTGCTTTTTTTTTTTTTTAAAGATAAGGAAACAGAGGAAATACTGTATTGTCAAATAAGTATCACATGCAAGCTCACACAGTTGGCAAGTATGGCACTACACAATTTTGTCAGGCCATTTTCATTTAGATATTGTCTGGCCACATTAAAACAGAAAACGTTGCTCTTAGCTCGGTGGCTCATGCTTATAATCCCAGCACTTTGGGAGGCCGAGGTGGGCAGATCACAAGGTCTGCAGATCGAGACCATCCTGACCAATATGGTAAAACCCGGTCTCTACTAAAATACAAAAAATTAGCCAGGCATGGTGGCAAGCATCTGTAGTCCAAGCTACTCGTGAAGCTGAGGCGGGGGGAATTGTGTGAACCTGGGTGGCGGAGGTGGCACTGAGCTGAGATTTCGCCACTGCACTCCAGCCTGGAAACAGAGTGAGACTCTATCTCAAAAACAAACAAAAAGATGCCGTAGGCCAGGCACGGTGGCTCACACCTGTAAGCTAGCACTCCTGACCACAGGTTATCCGCCTGCCTTCACCTCCCTAAGTGCTGGGATTACAGGCATCAGCCACTGTGCCCGGCCTTGCAAGGTTCTTATAATGTGAGGAATATATGTATAAAGCATCTTGTTATAGCCTGGGCCATAATACTTATACAGTTAATTAGAGCTGTAAGAGCCTATCACTTCTCTGTATTGATTTTCTTTTCCTATATATATATTTTTGAATATATATATAGACAGTGAATATATATATAAAGAATATATATATTTGATATAATATATAATATATATTATATACATATAATAGAATACATATATAAAGACAGTGAGACTCTGTCTTTCAGGTTTGACTGCAGTGGTGCAATCATTGCTCAATACAGCCTTGACCTCTCAGGCCCAAGCAATCCTCCCATCTCAACCTCTCAAGTAGCTAGGACTATAGGCATGTGCCACTCTGCCTGGCTAATTTTTTGTGCTTCTCGTACAGATGAAGTCTCACTTTTTGCCCAGTCTGGTCTCAAATTCCTAAGCTCAAGCCATTCTTCTACTTCACCCTCCAAAGTGTTGGAACGACAAGTGTGAGCCTCTGTACCTGGCCTTGAATTTTAGTTTGTGTTGACTTCCCACTTGACTTGGAGAACGTAAAAAAACGGGGTTGGGTGTGGCGGCTTATGCCTACAATCCCTGCACTTTGGAGGCTGAGGCGGGAGGATCACTTGAGCCGAGGGATACAAGACTAGCCTGGGCAACATAGGGGGATGCCCCTCCCTACAAAAAAATTAAAAATTAGTTGGGAGTGGTGTCATGTGTCTGTAGTCCCAGCTAGTTGGGAGGCTGAGGTGGGAGGATTGTTGACTCACTTAAACCTTCCTTTATAAATTTCCCAGTCTTAGGTAGTTTCTTTGTAGTGGTGTGAAAATGGACTAATACATTAACTTTGGTAGGCCAGGGCAGGAGGACTGCTGGAGGCAAGGAGTTAGAGACCAGCCTAGATGATATGGTGAGACTCCTATCTCTAAAAAAAAGTAAAAATTAGCCAGGCTTGGTGGCATAAGCCTACAGTCCCAGCTATTCAGGAGGCTTAGGCATGAGGATGGCTTCGGTCCAGAAGGCTGATGCTGCAGTGAGCCATGATCACACCACTGCATTCCAGCCTGGGTGAAAAGTTAAAACATTCAAAAAAGTAAAAAGAAACTTGCAGTTAAAAGACAATAATTCCTGAACTAGATATAAACACAACAAAATCCACTATATGTCATTTACAAGTGGCATACGTAGAACATAAATGCATGGAGAGTTTGAAAGGGAATGAATAGATTTGTCAAGCAAATAACAGAAAAAAGATGGTACAGTAGCATGAGTACAAACTAAAATGCAGAAAACATTACACGGTGATAGATGGTTCACTTCACCAGGAAGTTACATACATAATTTTTGTTTACTCCTAGTAATAAACAGTGTCAGAATATATAAGGCACAATTTGCCAGAACAATGAAAAGATATTGACAAATGTGCCCCCAGAAGATTTTAAAACATCCTTCTTAGTAATTGATGGATTCAACAGAATAGATAACAGGCTACAGACAGATTTGTGCGACATAGCTTAACAAGCTTGTTCTAAAGAACATAGATAGTGCATTGTACCAAAGCACACATAAACCATCTGCAGACACGGATCACACGTCAAGCCATAAGCCTCAACACACTTCAAGGCCTCAGTTATCCTAGAATCAAATAATTTCAGTGTGGTACCAGCCAAGATTCCTATGAGCAAACAAAATATGAGGCTTAAATGTTAACTCTCCTCTTTGAGACCTACTATAAAATTTTAGTTCATATTACATCATGTGGCGGGTTAAATCATGTTTTCTGTAAACCCTACCAAAGCCAGTGGTTTTTGTTGCAGTTGGCCTATTACATGGGTCTTTGTCCCAGTGGCAGCATTATACAAGAAATTATGGAGTTTTTATAAGCTGTGATAGAGTGTTACTGCCCTATATTATTAATATATATTATTTTTCGTGACATATTATTGTCCTTGTACTCCTGCTCTAACTTCTTTCACCACAGTTTTTGCACTCCCCCCGACATCCAGTATCTCACGAAAATTTTCATAAAGGAACAATGTCTGCTGCATTTTCAGGATCAATCTAAATAATCCCAATCAGGTATAGGCAGTACTTACAAAGACTTTTCAGCCACACACCAAAGATTGTGTTCCACTTGAGTGAAAATCACAGAGTTTATGATCCTCGTGAGAACCCTCTATTCATAAACTTGCCTGGTTCTTTTTGTCAGCATTTTTTTTTTTTCTAACATGAGTGCCTCCGTTTTGATTCTGACAACTTTTTTTTTTTTTTTTTAATTGCATTTTAGGTTTTGGGGTACATGTGAAGGACATGCAAGATTATTGCATAGGTACACACATGGCAATGTGATTTGCTGCCTTCCTCCCCATCACCTATATCTGGCATTTCCCCCCATGCTATCTCTCCCCAACTCCCTACCCCCTGCTGTCCCTCCCCTATTACCCCACGACAGACCCCAGGAATATTATGCAGCCATCAAAAATGATGAGTTCGTGTCCTTTGTGGGGATGTGGATGAACCTGGAAACCATCATTCTCAGCAAACTGACACAAGAACAGAAAATCAAACACTGCATGTTCTCACTCATAGGTGGGTGTTGAACAATGAGAACACATGGACACTGGGAGGGGATTCTGACAACTTTCACACCTCTCTCTGCTGAACCTTTCCTGTATTGTCCCAGAGATCTGCATAATGACCATGATTTAGTCAGGTATCAGAAAAGCTGTGTTTTTCACATGGACACAAGGAGGGTAACCACACACACTGGGGCCTGTTGGGGGGGTTGAGGGGAGGAGAGCATCAGGACAAATAGCTAATGCATGCTGGGCTTAATAGCTGATGGGTTGTGAGGTGCAGCACACCACCATGGCACACGATTACCTATGCAACAAACCTGCACATTCTGCACATGTATCCTGGAACTTAAAGTGAAATAAAATTTAAAAATTTCTTTTAAAAAGAAAAGCCATATTACTACATCTGACATCAAAAGAATATAACATGCCTAAAACTGGAGAGTTACTGTTCATGAAATACAAGTTAATGTAAAGCAAATTTTCCTTCTATTTCAAGCATATGCTCAAACATTTAAGAACATTTTGCCAGTTTTAATTACTAAATAATTTTGGTTTTAAAACTATTTGTTTCATTTTAAATTTCCATTTAGACTGCAGGGGTGTCCAATCTTTTGGCTTCCTTGGGACACACGTAAAATACACTAACACTGGCAAGAGCTGATCAGCTATTAAAAAAATTGCAGAGAGGCGGAGCCGCCCGCGGAGCTAAATGGGGCGAAGGCCGAGCGGAGGGGTCCCGCACCGCCCCCCGCCTGCAGGTCGTGCTGGGCCACCTCGGCCGCCCGTCGGCCCGGGCCATCGTAGGTCATCCCACTTCAGGGACTATTTCCTCTGCCAGTTTCCATCCTCAACAATTCCAGTATAGTCTGGATAATAATGTTCTCACCCTGGAACAGAGAAAATTTTATGAAGAAAATGGATATCTTGTAATTAAAAATCTGGTATGTGATGCTGATATCCAACGCTTTCGGAATGAGTTTGAAAAAATCTGCAGAAAGGAGGTGAAACCATTAGGATTAACAGTAATGAGGGACGTGGCCATTTTGAAATCAGAATGTGCTCACGGTGAGAAGATGATCACGAAGGTCCAGAATTTCCAGGAAGATAAGGAGCTCTTCAGATACTGTACTCTCCCCGAGATTCTGAAGTATGTGGAGTGCTTCACTGGACCTAATATTATGGCCATGCACACGATGTTGGATAAACAAACCTCCAGATGCTGGCAAGAAGACGTCCCGCCATCCCCTGCACCAGGACCTGCACTATTTCCCCTTCAGGCCCAGCAATCTCATTGTTTGCTCCTGGACGGCGATGGAGCCCATCGACCGGAACAACGGCTGTCTGGTTGTGCTCCCAGGCACCCACAGGGGCTCCCTGAAGCCCCACGATTACCCCAAGTGGGAGGGGGGAGTTAACAAAATGTTCCACGGGATCCAGGACTATGAGGAAAATACCGCCCGGGTGCACCTGGTGATGGAGAAGGGAGACGCTGTTTTCTTCCATCCTTCGCTCATCCATGGATCTGGTCGGAACAAAACCCAGGGGTTCCGGAAGGCAATTGCCTGCCACTTCGCCAGTGCTGATTGCCACTACATCAGTGTGAAGGGCACCAGTCAAGAAAACATTGAGAAGGAAGTGGGAGGATTAGCAAATAAACTCTATGGCATTGCAAATACCGTGGACTTGAAGGATATTTGGATGTTTCGAGCTCGACTTGTGAAAGGAGAAAGAACCAATCTTTGAAATAGCCCTCTGCTATAACTCTTTTAATGGAAAACCAAAACCAAACAAAGTGTCTAAGGAAAATGTTTCTTAATGAGTTAATGTAACCTTTTCTATCACTTGTTAAAATCAGAAAACATGTATCAGGTACTAAGTGCATGGAATTAGTTTTGCTCTACAATGGTGTTGCTTTAATGGAAATAAAAACAGTAAAAGGGAAAAAAATAAAAACAAAAGCACAGTAAAAGTGAAATACTACTGTTTTAAGGAAAATTAATTTAGGGTTGCATCCATTAAAGAGGATTGGTGTATAAAAAAAAAATTGCAAAAGATCTCATCATTTTTTTTGAGAGAGAGTCTTGCTCTGTCGCCCAGCATTGAGTGCAGTAGCACAATCTCAGCTCACTGCAGCCTCCGCCTCCTGGATTCAAAAAATTCTCCCACCTCTGCCTCTGCATTGCTGGGATTACAGGTGTGCATCACCATCCTGGCTGATTGTTGTATTTTTAGTACAGACAGCGTTTAGCCATGCTGGTCAGGCTGGTCTGGAACTCTTGCCCTCAAGTGATCCACCAACCTTGGCCTCCCAAAAGTGCTGGAATTACAGGTGTGAGTCACCATGCCCTGCCAAGAGCTCATAACGTTATAATATTTGTTGGGCAACATTCAAGGCTGTCCTGGGCCACCTGTAGCCCATGGGTTGAGACAGCATGATTTAGCGCTTACTCTTCCCAAATACTAAAACATACCATTAATTATCTTCCTTAATTAAAAAAAAAAACATTATTTTCCACTGACTTTAAGATTTTTGAGGGGTTTTACAATTAAAAAAAAAAAAAAAACCCACAAAAAAACAAAAACAGAGCCCTGGAAAGAAAACTAAGAAAATAGCATTTTAGCCCATCAGAAGCCAAATTGAAAGAGAAGAGATACAGGTTCCAAGAGCCTAGGATAAATTGGGCATTAAATGTATCTCCGAGGGAAAACATTCCAGACTGAAATATATAGATAAGATTGCCTTTTCCTGCCCCTACATTCTTATGTAAAGGATATTTATAACATTGTAATCACACAGAATTCAAAAACTAAATAAATAATTTTTTTCAATTACTGTTATTCAAGCGTTAAAAAAACAAAAACAAAACAGCCCATGTCCAGGACTCCAATCAATCAAGCAAAAGGATCTCAGAGAAAGGGAACAGCCTCTGCTTGCCACGTTTTCTCATTTTTCTCAATTTTCTGGAAAATCTGAAGGTCGCAGAGGTAGAGATGGAAATCTGTTTAAGGTCACCAAGACTTCAGAAGGCATGGGATGGGGAAAGCTATTTTTAATGATATTGTTAATCTCAAGATAGAGTGACCCAATAATCTTTCTAGAATACCGTGTTCAGGAAAAACTTTTAACTTTTATTCATTTGCCGCTTCTGAACATTGATGCTTCGTGCCTCTTGGGGGACATACAAGGTGTCTTGGTGACCCCAGGTGGTGGCCTGGAGGAGTTGGGGCAGTGGCAGGAAGTCATTGGATGGAGTGGGGAAGCCCCTGCCTCTGGTGCCCTTGGCCTTGGGGGGCGTGGCAGGGCTGCCACTGGTGTCTGAGGACCACTGGTGTCTGGGGGCAGGCCGGATTTTGGGGCATGTGGGGCCTTGGGTGCTCCGGGCTCATGGTGGTTCTGGAGGGCTGGCTTTGTTCCCTGCAACTGAATGACAGCAGCATTCACTATTTGAAAATTTCTGAAATTTTAAATTAATTAATTAATGGAGACAGGGCCTCACTCTGTTGCCCAGGCTGAGTGCAGTGGTGCGATCTGGGCTCAGTGCAGCCTTGACCTCCCGGGCTCAAGCGATCCTCCACCTCAGCCTCCCGAGAGCATTCTTCATTCTTGACAACACAGCCCCAGTGGACAGGACTGCCATAGATATGTGAGGTCTCTGTCTGCCCCCTGGGGAGCCTCTGTCCCTCAGTCACCCTCAGTCATTGAGACTCCTGGTTGTTTATGAGCTGGTCTTTTCTCTGGAATAGTGAAATGACTCCAAATGGCCTTTGTTATTATTGTTATTTATTTATCATTTATTTTTGAGATGGAATCTTCCTCTATTGTCCAGGCTGGAGTGCTGTGGAGTCATCTTGGCTCCCTGCAACCTCCTCTCCCTGTTTCCAGTGATTCTTCTGCCTCAGCCTCCCTAGTAGCTGGGACTCCAGGCGCTGGCCACCATGCCTGGCTAATTTTCTATTTTTAGTAGAGACGGGGTTTCACTATGATGACTAGGCTGGTTTTGAACTCCTGACCTCAGGCGTTCTGTCCACCTCAGCCTCCCAAAGTACTGGGATTACAGGTGTGAGCCACTGGACCTAGACTATTTTCCCTTTTTAAAGAGCAGTTATTGGAACAATTCGAATGGTTTAGGACATGGGCTTATAGGGGCAGCTGGGTGGAATGTGTGTCAGCTGCTTGCTGGCCTCACCTTCCATGTTTCAGCACGTGTCTGGGCCTCTTGGAGAACATCACTGACAGAATGTGCATCCTGGGGCATCTGTCCATTGGGCTGGGGGGTGCCTTTTACAGGTCCTGAGAGGGAGGAATCGAGAAAAGAACAGTGAGCAAAGCATTTTCAACATTCTTGCAAATTAATCTGAAAATACAAAGCAGTTTACATCTCTAAAGCAAAGAAAGATACTTGCTGGCTCCTTCTTACAAAAAAATAAAAATATAGCAAAAGAAGCAATTCTCAGGCATGGCATGGTACACAAGACCTTAGGAAAAATCTGAGGTTCTATGACAAAACTTTTTATGAGATTCAGCAAAAGGTTCAGGAAGGTGAGAATGGTATTTTATAAACCCCACTGAGGAGGGTCTGGATTAACTGGGATCGTGGAGAGGAATAGTTTGTTTTACTTTAGAAAATCTTTTCATAATTGAAGAATAAACCTTGAAAACCTGTTTACCTTCAAAATAATTATATTGTTGTTTTCCCTGAAATGTATTTATCTAGTCTCATACCACACTGAGTACAGGAACAACTTTTGAACATTGTCCTCAACAAAGAGTACACTGGACAGAGACATAATAGACAGAGATTTGGGCAAAATGCGGGGTTTCCTGAAATAATCTGTTATTCGATGTGTTTCCCACCCCCCCCCCCAAAGTCCTGGTATTGCAATTTTATTTTCTTGCCTTTTAATTTGTCCTTTTGACACAAAGCTTGACTCATGGAAGGTTTATAGTTGTGAGAAAATCAGATAGAAGAAGCTCTACGTTCATTTCTCAGGCTCCTTAGAAAGCATCCCACGGAGGACCGCCACCTCTCCACACTCGAGCTGTTTCTCCTGCAACTGAACTGCCCCACCCAGACCACACCAGAAGGTCTTCAGCTCCTCTCCCTGTGAATGCAGAGATGCTTTAGCCAAACTCAGCACCACTGTTCTGCCTATTTCTTCAACTAGTTTTCCAGTAATTTGAGAAACCCATTAATCTATATGACAACTCAAAGAACAACTTCAGGAGATTAGAAATAAACAACCAAAAAGAAAAAAATAATGGAAAGTTTGGCTGGGCTCTGGTGGTTCATTCCTGTAATCTCAGCCCTAGGGCAGGCTGAGGTGGGCAGATCATTTAAGGTCAGAAGTTTGAAAACACAATGGCCAATTTGGTGAAACCTTGTCCTTACTAAAAATACAAAAAAATACAGCCAGGCCTGGTACTCTCATCTCAGGTACTGGGGAGGCTGAAGCAGGAGGACTGCATGAACACGGGAAGCAAGGATTATAGTGAGCTGAGATTGCAACATAGCACCCCAGCCTGGGTGACAGAGTGAAACTCAGTCTCAAAACAAAACAAAAAAGAATAATACAATGGCCTTTGGAAAATGAGGGGGAAACTTTAAGAAGGGGGAGAAAGATAAGAGACTACAAATTGGATTCCGTGTGTACTGCTTGGGTGAGATGCACTAAAACCTCACAAATCAACACTAAAGAAGTTAGTCAAGTAACTGAATACTACCTGTTTACCAAAAATTTATCAAAAGAAAAATTAAAAATTTTTTTGAAAACTGTGAAAATTGAGTACAGTATTTTCAAGTTACAAAGGTACATCTATCATGAAGCTTAATTATTCTGACGTTAAAAGAAATGAAGAGAACAAAGTTTAGAGAAGCAGTCAGACATTTCCTCCACAGCAATAAAATCTGTAGCATACATTTTGTATTCTGAAACTTAGCTTTCAGCCAGCCTGTGGGAAGAAGAAGAGGGCCCAGGACTGGGCATTGGGGTAGGAAGGAGGAGAGAAACTGGACACAGCAGGGAAAGAGAAGGGGTTGGGACTCGAGGCAGAGCCAGTCCTCCTGCTTGGGACCTGGGCCTAGGAAAGTTAACTAGGGGCAGAGGGAGGAGCCCCAGGCTGTGGATGCCTCTGGGGGGAGCTTTACATCAGTAGGACAAGGGGAGGTCCTGAGGCCTAGGGGTATTCATAGCCTCCCCACCTTTGGTTGTCTTCTGGTCACCAATGTGCTGCAAGTCACGACCCTTGCTGGCTCCCAAATCCGACTGGGCAGGCTCCAAAGCAGTGGGGTCTGGCGCTACTGTCACCTCCACCTCATAGATCTCAGAGCTGCAGGACGGCTCCCTTGACGTCACCCTGAGCTGGCCCCGCTTGGGTCTGGCAATGGGGGACAGCGTGTTCCAGGCACTTCTGCTCCTTTCTGCTGGGGTCTGTGCCTTTGCTGGCTGTCCATTCATAGATATCTCAGCCCCAGGATGGCTCCACAGAACCCCTGTGGGGGCTCTGCCTGGGGTTGACTTTGGTGCACATGTGACTGGTCAGTGTGGTCCCCATGGGGCAATTCTGATTTTCTTGGGCGCTTGGGCCTCTGCCTGCCCATATGTCTGCAGAGCTCCACACCTACCATGTCCAGGACAGCCCTGGACCATGGGGCTGTACCCTACTTGCAGCCAGCACCCTGCCTCACCTGTCCACCCTGAGCTGACTTCTCTGCAGCAGTCAGAACCTGCCTGGTTGATTTAGAATGGGCCTGGATGCACCAAACCTGACAGCTGTGACTGTGGGAGGAGAGAGCACAGATGGAGCTCCTCATCCTCCGCCACTACCCACGAACTGAAGATCCCCCACTGAAGACCTCCAACTGAAGACCACCAACAGAGGGTACCAACTAAGGGCACAAAACAAAGGCAACCACTGAAGGCCACCAGGGGAAGGCCGCTTGACCTGCCAACCAGACCGCATCCTGGTTAAGAGGAAACAATCAGGCCCAGGGCACCTCCATACTTCCCCCAAACTCGGAACTTGAGGGAATAGGCACAAGGCTCACTAGGCCCCACCCTGCCAGCGGTCCCGCCCACCTTTCATTCATTACTGGCTGCTGGGAGCTTTCAGGTTTCTCACTGTGATGATGTTCCTAGGGCTCATCACCTTACAATGAATGATGCTAAAATTACTGAAACCAAATCCGCCTCATGCACTATCTGGGACTCAAAGAACCTCCTTTCCCCCATAACCTCTGAGCTTTATGGAAACTAGAAGAATGACAGATTTCTGCATGTGCTTTCAGAAAAACACACTGCCATGACTTAAGGCTACCCTACAATGTAAAGTTTTTTATATATTCAATACATATACATTCAATTTACCTTTTTTGAAAATAATACACATATTCCACCTAATTAACGAGACTAATAGAGAAAACTTCCTAAAATTTGTACACTAACTTCATCACAATTTTCTAATGCTCACTTTCATAGAGCAACTTGAAATTTATGGTTTCAACAAAGAAAGAGGCTTATGGAAGAGAAAACCACCCCGTTAATACAAGATTTTAAATGTGATCCTCATTGCTACTAATACATAACAATTACCCAGTATGTATTGTGAACTGCTTTGTGACTATGGTGACTTATTCAATCTCTCTGACTCTTGGTTTGATTATCTATAAAATATCACACCAATTTTATAAGCTTGCTCTAAAAATTAGATGAGAGAAAAACAATCCTCCTTCTCTATATATTGAACACTTACAAATTTATAGGTATCTTGTCTAGATTTTTATACACTTACCTTATTGAAGCCACATAACAACTTCATATTTTAAATTACAGTCATTATGGCCAGATTTTTACACACTTACCTTATGGAGGCCACATAACAACTTCATCTTTTAAATCACAGTCATTATGGCCAGATTTTTACACAGGTAACTTATGGAAGTCACATAACACTCCCATCTCTTATTGATGAGCAAACTGAGGCTCAGCGAAGTTCAAAACACATTGCCCACCACATCATAATGAGTGATAGAAATTGGATGCAAATTCCATTCTAACACCAAAGGTTGTGCAACATAACAAAGACTGAGCTGTACCCAGCACGTGGAGGGAGTCAAAACATGTGGATTCCATTTCTCTCCCCTTTTCTGTGTGAATTTCATTGGTTTTTACGGCCTCAGAACAATCCTAAACTCCCTCCCAGCTTGCCTTGCAGTGGTCCCCTTTTTCTTAGGGATGATTACTAAGCTGCATATTTAGACCACATATTTAGCTCCTTATAAACAGGTGCTTTGATTAAGACATTTTTTAGGCCAAGAGATGTGTTTGTCATGAAATAAAATTTTCTAGGCCCTAGGTTACTAACTGTGAATTGTCTAGCTTCTCTAAAAAATATATTGCTATTCCACGTAAAAAAAAATGCACAAGATCCACTGAATTTGCAGAAAGATTTAGAACTATGCTGCAGGAGCATCTTCCTGACAGCTGTGCAGGAAGTCCAGACTATACACACAAAGCAAGAGCACCTCCAAAGGCCAGGTGCGGTGGCTCCTGTCACCCTAGCAATGTGGGAGGCCAAGGTTGGTGGATCACTTGAGGCCAGGAGTTCGAGACTAGCCTGGGCAACAGAGTGAGACGCTGTCTCTACAAAAAATCATTTTATATGATTTGAATCAAGAAGAGTGCCTCTAACATTGCTTTACGATAAAGAGGTCTGGTGCAGAATTCAAGATATGAAATTTTGAGTCTCGCCATGGTATTTAACTAGAAAAGCTGTCAGACACTTTCTCTACAGCAATGAAATCTATAGCTTACATTTTGTATTTTGAAAATCCAGTTTTCAGGCCGCCTGGGGAAAGAAGAAGAGGAAACAGAACTAGGCATTGGGATAGGAAGAAAGAAGAATGGGTGGGGACTCGAGGCAGAGCCAGTCCTCCTGCTTGGGGCCTGGGACTGGGAAAGCTAACTAGCGGCAGGAGGGAAAGCCCCAGGCTGTGGATGTCTTTGGGGGAACCTTGAGTCAGCAGTGGCCAGAGAAGCTCCTGCTGTATTCAATCTTTTACACATGAGCATAACACAACATATAGATGAGCCAAGCAGTATTCGTTGCCTCCCTACCTTTGGTCGTCTTCTGGTCACCAATGTGCTGCAAGTCAGGACCCTGGCCAGTTCCCAAACCCAACTGGTCAGTCTGGTGCTACTGCCACCTCCATCTCCTAGATCTTGGAGCATCAGGATGGTCCTGCTCACCACACTCTGAGCTGCCCCTGCCTGGGGCTGGCATTGTGGGACAGCATGTTCTGGGCTCCTCTGCTTCTCTCTGCTGGTGTCTCTGACTTTTCTGGCCACTTACTCATAGATATCACAGCCCCAGGATGGCTTCACAGAACCCCTGCTTCAGCCCTAGCTGGTGCTGCCTTTTGTGCACATGTGATACTTCAGCGTGGTTCCCTTGGGGCAACTCTGCTCTTCTCAGGTAGCTTGAGCCTTCACTTGCTTTGATATCTGCAGAGGTCAGAACATGCTGCCTCTTGCCAGCAAAGTCACGCTGGCATGGGCAAACCCCCGGCCATAAGGCTGCAACCCACTAGCAGCTCACAGCTTACCTCAACCACCTACCTTGAGCTGACTTGTCTGTAAAAGTCACAACCCTGCCTGGTTTATTTAGAGTGGGCCTAGATGCAAAAAGCCTGAGAACTGGGACATTAGGAGGAGAGAGCACAGACGGAGCTCCCTCTACTTCCACCACTGCCAAACCAACCGAAGGCCAACAACTGAAGAGCACCAGCTGAGGGCATAAAATGAGGCAACCAATGAGGGCAAGCACTGAAGGCCACCAGGTGAATGCTGGTTGCCCTGCCAACCAGACTGCATCCTGATTAATAGGAAACAATCAGGCCCAGAGTCCCCACCATGTGTCCCTGCCAACTTGGAACCTGAGAGACCAGGCACGTGGCTCACAAGGCCCTGCCCTGACAGGCACTGCATCCCACCTTTCATTCATTCCTTTAATTCATTCCTGGCTGCTAAGAGCTTTCAGGCTTCTCACTGTCTTGGAGTTCCTAGGGATTATCACCTTACAATGAATTATGCTAAAGTTACTGAAGCCTAATCTGGCTCTTGCACTAGCTGGAATTCATAGAACCTCCTTTCCCCCGTAACCTCTGAGTTTTTAACAAACTACAAAAATGACAGATTTCTTCAGGTGCTTTCCGGAAAAGCATTGCCACGAGCTAAGTCTACTGTGTGATGTCTAATTATATTTCACATATATATACATATGCATTCAATCCACACATATTCCATTTACAATTTTGAAAATAACACACATATTCAATCAAATTAATAAGAGTAATAGAGGACATTTTCTAAATTTATACACTAATATATCAGTTTCCCAATGATCACTTTGATACATCAACTTAGAATCTATGGTTTCAACAAAGAGGTTTATGTAAGAGAAAAGCATTCTCTTAATACAAGATTTTAAATGTGATCACCATTGCTACTTTCAACAGGCAGTTACCCAGTAAATGTATTGTGAACTGCTTTGTGACTACAGTGACTCATTGAATCTTTCGGAGTATAGGCTTGATTATGTCAAAAATACGAGTAACAACAGTTGTATAAACTTGCTCTAAAAATGAAATGAGAGAAAAAGAATCCTCCTTCTGTATATAATGAAGTCTTACAAAATTATAAGCATTGTGTCCAGATTTTTACACACTTAACTTATTGAAGCCTTAAAACAACCCTATCCTTTAAATTACAGTCATTTTGCCCACACCAATTTTTACACACTTACATATGGAAACCTCATAATAATCCCATCTTTTATAGATGAGTAAAATGAGGTTCAGAGGAGTTAAAAACACATTCACCATCATGTGCTAACGTGTGATGGAACTGGGATTCAAATCCAGTTCTCCCTGACGCCAGATGTACCGCAACTTAACAATGACCGAGTTATACTGAGCACATGGAGGCAGTGAAAACATGTGGATGCCCTCTCTCTACCCTCTTTTGTGTGAATTTGAATGGCTTTCATGGCCTCAGAACCAACCTAAACTCCCTCCCAGGTTGCCTTGCAGTGGTTCCCTTCCTCTTGGTAATGACTAGGAATCTGCATATTTAGACTTCAAGCATCTCCTTAGAAACAGGTTTGTTGATCAAGAAATGAAATTTTTTGGCCAGGGATGGTGGCTCTCGCCTGTACTTTGGGAATCCAGGGCAGGCAGATGTCCCGAGGTCAGGAGTTCGAGACAAGCTTGTCCAACATGGTGAAACTCCGTCTCTACTAAAAAGAACAAAATTAGCCGAGTCTGGCAAATGGTTCTAATCCCAACTGCTCAGAACGCTAAGGTAGGAGAATTGCTTGAACCCAGGAGGCAGAGGTTGCAACAACCTAAGATTGTGTCATTATACTCCAGCCTGGGCAATAAGAGCAAAATTTTATCTAAAAAAAAACCATAAAAATTTCTAGGACCTAGGTTACTGTGAATTGTCTAGTTTATCCACAATAAGCAAAGGTAATAGTACATGTAAAACATCACAGGATCCACTGAATTTGTCCAGAAAACTTTGGAATGATGCCGTAGGAGTATCTTACCGACAGCTGGGTAGGAGGAGCAGTAGAAACATGCATAGCAAGTCCGAAGTCCAGGTCTGGAGGTTCTTGCCTGTCAGTTCAGCAATGTGGGAAGTCAAGGCGGGTGGATCACTTGATACCAGGAATTTGAGACCAGCCTGGCGAACACAGTGAGACCCTGTCTCTACAAAATATTTTTTAATAATTAGAATCAAGAATAGTACATTTGACCCTCCGACCTTGCTTTAAAATACAGAGCTCTAGTCCAGAAATCAAGATATGAAATTGTGAGTCCCAATAGGGCTATTTAAGTTTAAATAGGAGAAATGTTAGACATTTCCTCTACAGCAATGAAATCTGTAGCATTCATTTTGTAGTTTGGAAACTTAGTTTCTGGCCAGCCTGGGGGAAGCAGAAGAGGTCCCAGAACCCAGCATTGGGGTAGGAAGGAGGAAGGAAACTGGATGGACCCAACAGGGAACCAAGATAAGCTGGGAAGGCAAGGCAGACCCAGTGTTTTTGCTTGTGGCCTGAGCCTAAGAAAGCTACCTAGGGGAAGGAGGGAGGAGCCCCATGCTGTGGATGCCTCCAGGTGTAACCTTGGGTCAGCAATGGCCAGAGAAGCTCCTGAGGTCCAGCAGTGTCTGTCATCTCCCTACCTTTGGGTGTCTTCTGGTCGCCAATGTGCTGCAAGTCAGGACCCTCTCCGGCTCCCAAATCCAACTGTGCAGGCTCCAAAGCAGTGAGGTCTGGCGTACTGCCACCTCCACGGGGTAGATCTCAGAGTGTCAGGACGTCTCTTCCCACTGCACCCAGAGATTGCCCCACTTGGGGCTGGCATTGGGGTACAGTGTGTTCCAGGTGCCTCTTTGCTCCTCTCTGCTGGGGCTTGGCTCTTTGTTGGCCCCCAACTCAGATGTCAGAGCCCAGATTGGCTCTGACGAATCCCTGCCTGACCATGCCTCAGGCTGTCTTTGGTGCACATGGTCAGCGAGATCCACAAGGGGCAGCTCAGCACATCTCAGGCAGCTTGGGTCCTCACTGGCCCCCACGTCTGCAGAGCTCAGCACCTGCCATATCTTCCCAGTATAGGCACAGCTGACACAGGTAGCACCAGGCCACGGAGCTGCACACCACTGGCAGTCCCCACCCTGCCTCACCTGCTCACCTGAGCTGACTTATCAGCAGCAGCCACCACCCTGCCTGGTGTATTCAGAATGGGCCTGGATGCAAGAAGCCTCAGAGCTGTGACTGCGGGAGGAGAGAACATGGACCGAGCTCCTTTGGCTGCTGCTCACCAACAGAAGATCAGCTGAAGGTACCAACTGAGGGCACTAACCAAAGGCATCCAATGAGGGTACCCACTGAAGACCACCAGGCTGGTTGCCCTGTCAGCCAGACCACATCCTGGTTAAGAGGAAACAATCAGGCCCAGAATTCCCTGCATGCCTCCCCCTAAACTTGGAACTTGAGTGCACAGGCAGGTGGCTCCAAGGCCCCGCCCTGGCAGTGGCCCTGCCCCACCTTTCATTCATTGCTGACTGCTGGGAGCTTTCAATTTTCTCACTGCGATGAAGTTGCTAGGGATCATCACCTTACAATGAATGATGTTAAAATTACTGAAACCAAATCTGCCTCATGTGCTATCTGGGATTCATAGAACCCCTCCTTATCCCATAATGTCTAAGGTTTTTACAAGCTAGACAAAAGATTTCTGAAGGTTGTGTCAGAAAAAACACTGTCATTTCCTAAGCCTGCTCTATAATTATTCAAGTCATATTTCATATACATATATACATATATATATTCAATCTGCATATATTTGATTTACATTTTTGAAAATAACACACATATTCAAACGAGAATAACAGAAGAAATTTTAAAAAATTTACACACTACATACATCCCAATTTCTAATTTGATAGAGCAACTTAGAATCTATAGTTTCAACAAACCAAGAGGCTTATGTAAGAGAAAAGCACCACATAATACAAAACATTCAATGTGAACATCCTTGTTACTTTTAACTAGATATTACCCATTAAATGTATTGTGAACTGCTTTGTAACTACGGTGATCTATTTAGTCTTTCTGATCCTTGGTTTGATTACCTCAAATATATGAGTATCATCAATTTTATAAACTTGCTCTAAAAATTAAATGAAAGAAAAATAATCCTCCTTCTTTGCGTATTAAACACTTAGAAAATTATAGGCATTGAGTCCAGATTTTTACACACTTACTTTATAGAAGCTTCATAACAACCCTGAGCAAACGGAGGGTCAGATGAATTAAAAACACATTTACCAGCACATCTCAATGAGTGATGGAACTGGAATTCATATCAAGTTCTGACACCAAAAATGGTGCATCTAATGAGAAACATGTTATACCCAGAACATGGAGGGTACAAAATATGTGGATTCCCTTTTCTACCCATTCATTTGTGAATTTCAATGGCTTTCACTGCCTCAGAACAATCCTAAACTGACTCCCAGCTTGTCTTGCAGTGGTTCAATTTTCTTGGGATGATTAGGAATCTGCATATTTGGACAAGCATCACCTTTTGACAGGTGTATTGATCAAGAAATGAAATTTTCTAGGCCATAGGTTACTAACTGAATTGTCTATCTTCTCTGCAGTAAAGGAAGGGGCCAGTCCATGTAAAAAATCACAGTATCCACTGAATTCATGCAGAAAGATTTGGAGCTATGCTGTGGAAACACGTTATTGACAGCTGCACAGGAAGTCCAGCTGAAACACACAAAGCAAGAGCCCATCCAAAGGCCAGGTGTGGCAGTTCTTGCTTGTCATCCCAGCCATGTGAGAGGCCAAGGCAGGTGAATTGCTTGAGGCCAAAGATTTGAGACCAGCTCGGGCAACAGTGATATCCTGCCGCTATAAAAAAAATAATTTTTAATTATTAGACTCAAGAACAGTACCTCTACCCTTCTGCCATTGCTTTCTGATAGAGAGCTTTGGTCTAGAACTCAAGATAAGAAATTGTGAGTCCCAATGTGGCTACTTAAGTTTAAACAGAAGAGCTGTCAGATATTTTTTCTACAGCAATAATCTCTGTAGCATCCATTTTGTATTTCGAAAATGTAGTTTTGGGTCAGTCTAGGGGATGAAGAAGAGGCCCCGAAGTGGGCATTTGAGTAGGGAAGAGGAAAGAAACCGGCTGGATGCAACAGGGAAAGAAGAAGGGGTGGGTACGTGAGGCAAAGCCAGTCTTCCCGACTGGGGCCTGGGCCTAGGAAAGCTCACTAGGGGCGTGAGGCAGGAGCCCCAGTCTGTGATGCCTCTGGGGAGAACCTTGGGTCAGAAACAGCCAGAGGAGCTTCTGAGGTCAGGTGGTATCCGTCGCCTCCCTACCTTTGGGCGTCTTCTGGTTGCTAATGCGCTGCAGGTCATGGCTCTGGAACCTGATTGGGCAGGCTGCAAAGCCGTGGAGTTTGGCGCTACTCCCATCTCCACTCTGTAGATCTCAGAGCTGCAGGATGGCTCTGCACGCCGCACCCTCAGCTGGCCCCGCTTGGAGTTGGCATTGGGAAACAGTGTGTTTCTGGCGCCTCTGCTACTCCCTGCGGGGGCCTGCGCCTTTGCTGGCCACGCAGTCATAGATGTCAGACCCATAGACAGCTCCGCAGATCCCCTGTGCCTGCCCTGCCTGGGGCTGGCTTGGGTGTACATGCCACAGGTCAGCGTGGTCCCCAAGTGGCACCTCTGCTCTTCTTGGGCTGCTTGGGCCTTCGCTTGCCCCCACGTCTGCAGAGCTGAGCACCTGCTGCCTCTCCCCAGGAAAGGCAACCAAATGCCACCAATTTAAAGCACCCACTGAAGGCACTAACTGAAGGTCACTGACTGAAGGCACCGACTGAAGTAAAGGCCATCAACTGAAGGCTGGTTGCCCTGCCAACTAGATTGCATGCTGCTTAGGAGGAACCAATCAGGCCTTGAGTTCGCACGATGCCCTGCCCTTTCTTTTGTGATGTGGGAGTCCAGGCATTGGTTCACAAGGCCCTACCTCACGCCCCACGGGCCCCGCCCCATCTTTCATTTATTGGTAGCTGCTACCAACTTTCAGGTTTCTTTACTGTGAATTGTGAATATGAATTCCACTGAAATTACTGTATCCTAACATACCTCATGCACTATCTGACATTCAAAGACTTCTCTACCCCCATGGCCTCTGAGTTTTTTGGAAACTGAAAAGAAGACAAATTTCTGCAGGTGCTTTCAGGAAAGATAATTCCATGAACTAAGATTACTCTGTGATATATTGATTTCCTATATCAATACATATTCATATTTATATCCATAATTCAAAACAAATTAACAAGACTAACAGAGGAAATTTTCTAAAATTTGTACACTAAGTACATCACATTTTTCTTATAATCACTATGAAAGAGCAGCTTAGAATCTATGGTTTCAACAAATGAAGAGGCTTATGTATGAGAAAACCACTACATAATACAAGATTTTCAATGTGCTCATCATTGCTACTTTTAACTAGCAATTACCCAGTAAATATATTGTGAACTGCTTTGTGACTATGGTGATTTATTTAAACTTAGTGACTCTTTGTTGGATCATCTCTAGGATATAAATAATATCAATTTATAAACCTGTTCTAAAAATTAAAGGAGAGAAAAATAATCCTCCTTTTCCATGTATTGAATAATTACAAAATTAAATGCATCGTGTCCAGGTTTTCACATACATACCTTATAGAAGCCACATAACAGCACTCTTAAATTACAAGCATTTTGCCATAATTTTTACATACTTACCTCATGAAAGCCTCATAACAATCACATCCTTTTTAGATTCGTAAACTGCAGCTCAGACAAGTTAAAAACACATTCAGCAACACATCACAATCAGTGATGGAACTAAGATTTAATTCCCGTTTTCTCAGCCAGGCGCGGTGGCTCACGCCTGTAATCCCAGCACTGTGGGAGGCCGAGGCGGGTGGATCACGAGGTCAAGAGATCGAGACCATCCTGGTCAACATGGTGAAACCCCGTCTCTACTAAAACTACAAAAAATTAGCTGGGCATGGTGGCGCGTGCCTGTAATCCCAGCGACTCAGGAGGCTGGGGCAGGAGAATTGCCTGAACCCAGGAGGCGGAGGTTGTGGTGAGCCGAGATCGCGCCATTGCACTCCAGCCTGGGTAACAAGAGCGAAACTCCGTCTCAAAAAAAAAAAAAAAAAAAAAAATCCCGTTTTCTCTGATGCCAAAAATGGTGCAATTTAACAAGAACCAAGTTATACTCAGAATATGGAGGGATCAAAACATGTGGATTCCCTTTTCTACCTGCTCATGTGTGAATTTCAATGGCTTTGACGGCCTCAGAACAATATTAAACTCCCTTCTAGGGTGACTTACCGTGGTTCCATTTTTCTTGTGAATGATTAAAAATCTGTATATTTAGACACAAGCATCAGCTTTTAACTGGTGTGTTGGTCAAGACATGTAATTTTCTAGGTTACTGTGATTTGTCTAGTTTTTCTGCAATCAATAAAGCACTATTTCATGTAAAAAAAAATCACAGAATCCACTAAATTTCTATGTGGAGTTGTTTTCTGGAAAGATTTGGAACTGTACTGCAGGAGCATCTTACTGACAGCTGTGCAAAAAAACCAGATGAAACACACAAAGCAAGAGTGCATCCAGATGCCAGGTGTGGTGGTTCTCGCTGTCATCCAGTAATGTGGGAGGCCAAGGTGGGTAAATCACTTGAGGCCAGGAGTTCAAGACCAGCATGTGATACACACTGAGACCCTGTCTCTACAAATAATCATTTTTTATTATTAGAATCAAGAAAAGTACCTCTGATCCTCTGACTTTGCTTTGGGATAGAGAGCTCTGGTCTAGAACTCAAGATACGAAATTGTGCGTCCAAGTGTGGCTACTTAATTTTAAATATAAGAGCTGTCAAACATTTCCTCTACAGCAATGAAATCTGTAGCACCTATTTTGTATGTTGAAAACTTAGTTTTCAGCTAGCATAGGGCAAGAAGAAGAGGGCCCAGAAGTGGGCATTTGGGTAGGGAGGAGAAAAGAAATAGGCTGGGTGCAGCAGGGAAAGAAGAACTGGTGGGGACGTAGGCAGAGCCAGTTCTCCTGCTTGGGCCCTCGGCCTAGAAAAGCTAACTAGGGGCAGGAAAGAGGAGCTCAGGGCCACGGATGCCTCTGGGGCAAACTTTGAGTCACCTGTGGCCAGAGAATCTCCTGAGGCCAAGAGGTATCCGTCGCCTCCCTACCTTTGGGCGTCTTCTGGTCGCCAATGCGCGAAAGTAAGGGCTCCCGAATCAGACTGGGCAGGCCTCTGCTCCTCTCTGCTGGGGCCTGCGCCTTTGCTGGCTGCCCACTCAGAGGTCAGAGTCTCAGGATGGCTCTGCAGATCTCCTGCGCTGGCCCTGCCTGGGGCTCGCTTCGGTGCACAAGCCACAGGTCTGCTTGGTCCCCATGGGGCGCCTCAGCTCTTCTCGGGAAGCTTGGGCCTCTGCTTGCACCCAAGTCTGCCGAGCTCAGAACCTGCCGCCTCTCTCCAGGAGAGGTAACCAAATACCACCAATTTAAGGCACCCACTGAAGGCACTAACTGAAGGTCACCAACTGAAGGCCGGTTGCCCTGCCAACCAGATTGCCTCCTGCTTTGGAGGAACCAATCAGGCTTTGGGTTCTCTCCTCGCACCGCCAGTCCATTTGTGACATGGGAGTCCAGACACTGGCTCACAAGGCCCCGCCCCCCAGCGGCCCCGCCCCACCTTTTATTTATTGGTTGCTGCTAGCAACTTTCAGGTTTCCTCACTGTGAACTACGAATAGGAATTCCACTGAAATTGCCGTATCCTATTGTACCTCATGCACTATCTGACATTCAGAGACCCGCCTTTCCCCTATGGCCTCTGATTTTTTTGGAAACTAGAAAGAAGACAAATTTCTCCAGGTGCTTTCAGAAAAAATCACTGCCATGAACTAAGATTTCTCTGTGATATATTCATGTATCCATACATATTCATATTTATATCCATAACTCAAAACACACTTAAGCAAATTAACAAGACCAACAGAGGAAATTTTCTAAAATTTATTCAGTAAGCACATCACATTTTCCTAATGATCACTTCGAAAGAGCAACTTAGAATCTATATTTTCCACATATGAAGAGGCTTATGTAAGAGAAAAGCCCCACGTAATTCAAGATTTTAAATGTGCTCATCATTGCTATTTTAACTAGAAATTACCCAGGAAATATATTGTGAACTGATTTGTGAGTATGGTGATTTATTTAAACTTACTGATCCTTTGTTCATCTCAAAAAGATGAATAATATCAATTTTATAACTTTGTTCTAAAAATTAAGAGACAAATAATCCTCCTTCCCCATATATTGAACACTTACAAAATGAAAGACATTATGTCCAGATTTTTACACACTGACCTTATTGAAACCTCATAACAACCCCATCTTTTAATTTTCAGGCATTATCCTCAGATTTTTACACATTTGCCTTATGCAAGCCTCATAACAATCCCATCTTTTATAGATGAGTAAATTGAGGATCAGAAGAGTTAAAAACACAATCACCATCACCTCATAATGAGTGATGGAACTGGGATTCAAATCCAGTTATTTCTGACACCAAAGGTGGTGCAATTTAACAAAGACCAAGTTACACTCAGAACATGAAGGGATCAAAACATGGGGATTCTTTTTCTCTACCCTCTTATCTGTGAATTTCAATGGCTTTCACGGCCTCAGAACAATCCTAAGTTCTCTCCCAGGTTACCTTGCGGTGGATCCCTTCTTGGGGATGATTAGGAATCTGCCTATTTAGACCACAAGCATCTGTAAACAGTTGTGTCGATTAAGAAATAAAATTTTCCAGGCCCTAGGTTACTAACTGTGAGTTGTCTAGCTTCTCTGCAATAAATAAAGGCTATTCCATGTAAAAAAAAAAATCACAGGATCCACTGAATTTGTGCAGAAAGTTTTGGAACTATACTGCAGGAGCATATTACTGACAGCTGTGCAGGACAAACACTGAAACACACAAAGCAAGAGCGCCTCCAAAGGCCAGGTGTGGTGGTTCTTGCCTGTTATCCCAGCAATGTGGATGGCCAAGGTGGGTGGATCACTTGAGGCCAGGTGTTCAAGACCAGCCTGGGAGACTCTGTCTATACAGATAATCATTTTTTAATTATCAGAATCATGAGGAGTACCTCTGATATTTCTTTAGGATAGAGAGCTCTGGTCTAGAACTCAAGATGTAAAATTTTGAGTCCTAGTGTTGTTACTCAAGTTTAAATACAAGATCTGTCAGACATTTCCTCTACAGCAACGAAATCTGTAGCATCCATTTTGTATTTTGAAAACTTACTTTTCAGCCAGCCTAGGGGAAGAAGAGAGGGCCCAAAAGTGGGCATTTGGGTAGGGAGGAGAAAAGAAACCTTCTGGAGGCAAAAGGGAAATAAGAAGGGGTGGGGACTCGAGGCAGAGCCAGTCCTCCTGCTTCGGGCGTGGGCTTAGGAAAATTAAGTAAAAGCAGAAGGGAGGAACCCCAGGTTGTGGATGTCTCTTGGGGGAACCTTGGGTCAGCAATGGTCTCCTGAGGCCAAACGGTATCTGTTTCCTTCCTACCTTTGGGCCTCTTCTGGTTTCTAGTGTGCTGCAAGTCACGACCCTCACCAGCTCCCAAATCTGAGTGAGCAGGCTCCAAAGCAGTGGGGTTAGGTACTAGAGATATCTCCATCTTGTAGATCTCAAAGCTGCAGGACGGCTCTGCCCAGAACACCCTGAGGTGGTCCCCTTGGGGCTGGCATTGGGGTACAGCGTGTTCTGGGTTCCCGTAACTCCTCTGTGCTGGGGGTCTCTGCCTTTGCTGGCTGCCCACTTATAGATGTCAGAGCTGCAGGACGGCTCCATAGAACCCCTACACAGGCCCTGCTTGGGGCTGTCTTTGGTGCACCTGCGACAGGTCAGCACAGCGTGGTTTCCTTGGGGCACCTCTGCTCTTCTTGGGAAACTTGGGTCTTCTCTCTCTTCCAGGTCTGCAGGGCTCAGCACCTGCTGTCTCCCCCCAGGAAAGACAACCAAATGCCACCAACTTAAGGCACCCACTGAAGGCACTAACTTCAGCCCACAAGCTGAAGGCCGGTTGCCCTGCCAACCAGATAGCATCCTGCTTAAGAGTAACCAATCAGGCTTTGCATTCCCTCCACGTGCCACCCTTGTTTAGCAGGTGCATCTTCTCCAGCAAGTTTTTCGGCATCCTTTTCAGAAGCATTTGACAGCTGAGAAAGCAGGCTAAGCCTCACCTACTCCTTCTTGGGCTAAAGATCTCAGAGTTAGTTACACATCTTAATTCAAGAAAAATAAATAATAATTCTTCTATCACTAAAAACAACATAGAATAATCTGTTCAAAAAATTATTTTTGATCATCCACATTTTGATGGCAATCCTACATTTGGTAATAATGATTAACATATGCAAATATTTTTTAGCCAGTTAAATTGAAACATATAATTTGGAACATCTTCATGATCATTTTTGTTCTAATCAGTAACTTTAATGGAATAATAAGGTGTTTTTGATAAGCCACATGAGTTATTCTCAATGTTATGACAGTTGTAATCACAATGGATCATTAGGGCCTGGTGTGGTGGCTCACGCTTGTAATCCAATCACTTTGGGAAGCTGGGGCAGGTGGATTACCTAAGGTTAGGAGTTCAAGACCAGCCTGGCCAACATGGTGAAAGCCTGTCTCTACTAAAAATATACACACACAAAATTGCTGGGTTTGGTGATAGGTGACTGTAATTCCAGCTACCCGGAGGCTGAGGCAGAAGAATCACTTGAACCTGAAAGGCAGAAGATGCAGTGAGCTGAGATTGTACCATTGCGCTCTAGCCTGGGCAACAAGAGGGAAACTCT